CGGTATCCACCTCCCTGGTTTGCTGGAGCTGCTAGATCGCGACCGTCAGCTTGACGTTGACGTGTTGTTGGTTGTGGCATTGCTGGTGTGGCTATGTTCGCACCGTCGTCGCTGTCGTCGTGGACGACACTTCCGTCTGCTCCTGTCGCTGCCCAAAGAGGAGTGTCGACAACTGCCGCACGCAGCCCGAGATCCTCCAGCGCCGATGAATCATACATAGTACTAACATGCAAAGAAAGCAATAGCAATCGTAATCGCAGTAGTAGTCGTAGTAGTAGTAGTAGTAGTAGTAGTAGTAGTAGTAGTATCAGTAGTAGTCATAATAATGGTAAGAGTAACAGTAGTCGTGGTAGTGGTAGTGGTAGTGAGCAGCAGCAGCAGCACAGCAGCAGCCGCAGCAGCAGCAGGAGTAGTAGCAGTAGTAGTGGTAGGAGTAGTAGTAGTAGTAGTAGTAGTAGTAGTAGCAGTAGTCGTAGTGGTAGTGGTAGTGGTAGTGGTAGTGGTAGCAGGAGCAGTACTAGGACTATAGTACCAGTGCTAGTGTACTAGTACTAGTACTAGTTCTGTAGTAGAAGTAGTGGTAGCGGTAGTAGCAGCAGTAGACGCGACGCAGATGCAGACGGAGATGTAGATGCAGATGATGGTAGTAATAAACATATTATTCCTAATACTACTGTAGTTGTCATCGTCACATGCGGAGCAGTAGTAACAGTGATCATCATCGAAATGGTCATTGTCGCGGTGATACTAAACGTAATGGTAACAATGATAGGTGTAATGACAGCAGGCTAGCTCAATTGCGATTCTTAGTATTGAAAAATGTTGCAGTCACTGTTGCCAACGCAATACCCACTGTTGCCATCATGGATTGCCGTCTGCATCGTGAGTAACGTGTCTCGTGAACAACCCAAGCAGAGTCAGTCTCAACGACCCGTAACCAAAGCCCCAAACCTAAAGACCAGAGAAGCCCAACGAAACCCCGGAACACTAGCCTTCGAACGCTGAAGCCCCTTAAAGATGTTAAATCCATAGGCCCATAAACTCAATCCCAAACCTCTAAAGCCTCCACCCCCAAACCCTAAACCCACCCTAAACCGGACCCATAGAGTCTACACCCTACCTAGCCCCTAAAGAACCTCCTTCTTAAGGACTTATATAAGTTTAAGGAAACCATAATAAGAGGAGCCCGAAAAAGGTGGGTTCTTTAGGGTCCAGGTAAACCCTAAACCAGAAACGACGGCTCCGCCTCGCCATGGTGCAACTCCCTCAGAGCTGCAGGTCCCTTCGCATCGGGCCGACCAGTGGCCTGCAGGATTCTTAAGGTCCCTGTGCTATCCCCAAGAATTCCTTCAGGTTCCTTCAAGGGTTCCTTAAGGGTTCCGTTCAGGGTTCCTTTAAGGGTTCCTTTACGCTTTCGGAGATTAGGGTATTTTCAGGGTCAAAGCACCCAAGTAGTATATACGTTGGCCCGAAAGTACCTATAAACGGACAACTTTAAGGCCACGGCATGTTATACTATATGAGTATCCGTACCCTTGGGGAAGGTCTCGGCTTCATGCTTTCCAATTTAACTTAAAAGTTGAGGTGCTTTTGCCGTCTGCCAGCAATGGCGGAGTTGAGGAATTTAGGGTTTAGTGTTGACAGTCTAGGGTTTAGGAGTTTAAATTCAAAGTCTGGGGATGGGCTCGTAGAAACAGGAACCGCACTGGGACTGTTACAGGAACTGTCCAGGAAGCCAACCAACCGAAACTATTCCGGAACCCTTGCGTGGGGGACCGGTTTTCGGTCCGTTCGAGGCAGTTTGGGGCTTAAACAAATTCACGGTTAGGTGTATATATATAGGATGCCAGTTGCAATACACTCCTTGTCTGTGAAGCCAGAAATTGTTTCTTCATATTTTTGTTGGAGAGATTATGAGTTTTTTATCTTACGAAAAGGTTCGTACTAATGCGAGCCGAATAGTCGTACTACGAATACTACTATTGGTGGCGGGGCTAGGCTTTTGCGCCAGCTTGGCTTGTTTGGTGGGTTGAGGGTTTAGGCTTTGGGATTTTAGGACTTTACAGCTGTAGGTGTTTAGGGGGTTTAGGGGTTCGGGGCTTTACTGTTTTCAGCACTCACACTCGGACTTGCCCAGTGCTGTAAGGGTTTAGGGTTGACGGGTCAGGTTCGAAGGTTCAGGAATTTGCCATTCGAGAACGGCTTCAAACGCTCGACCACAACCTTGGGTTTGGAATTTCGTTCGAACAAGAAGTAGGACGAAGAAAGAAGTGACGAGACTACACACAGGAGCCTTCGTCAAAGGTTTGTGCACACAAATCCCAATGGCAACACCGATGCTGTAGCCATTGGAAATTCAAGACCAAAGTTGCTGTGGACATGTGGGAGACATATGGGATATATGGTGCAGCGCTTCTAGGCCCCCCCTCCCCCCCACCCCATGGTATCCCCTATCCCCCCCTGTGGTTCCCTGTGGTGTGGGTTCCCCTCTGTCCCTCCGACGAAGCTGGCGATCATGATGTGCTCCTCCGGTCCCTAGACTCCTAAATGAAAGTCATTCAAGCACATGCTCGGGCTCACTTTTAACGCGCCCAACCAAAACTGAGCATAGAACGACGACGGTCGATACGATACAAACTACGGAGATCTACGAAAGAGCGCATGAGAACCCAAACAAGCTGTTGAAACAAACAAATACGACCAACATGCGGTACCTAAGCGAAGAACAACATAAGAGCTGTGGTGCTACCAACAGTCACACTCGGACTCGGAACACAACATGCAATAAATTCTCATCTGTGTGGGGAGTGGGGGGGGGGTGTTGTGCGATCTTGCGCGAGAGTTCCAAAGAACGTCGACAGTTACGAGGATGACGACGCGCACGAGCGCCACCCCTGTGACTGTTTGCTTGGATGAGAGGCCTGGCTTGGCTGCTATGGGAGGGGGGGGGGGGTCATACCATGGGGGGTGGGGGGGCCACTGACGCGGCGACGCGGGACCATAAATATGATGTGAGTTTCTGGTGCTACACGACATGGCATTTTGAAGCCGTATAAGTGGGGTACCGGAAAGAGGTCCCTCAGTTGGTGAGCCAACAAGAGTAGGCGGATGCGAAAAGAGTTATTCTTAGAGCCCCGCAGTGGTTCCTGTTACCAGGGGCGGACCAGCCGTGTTACATGAAGTTGTGGTTGCTGTTACGGGATCGAGGCCTGTTCCTTTTACGGGTTCCCGTTACGGACAGTCTGTTCCCATTGCGGCAAACACTCAGCTGGTGGTCTGTTTATCTATTCCTAAAGCTGCCTAAAAAAGCCCTCATAAGGATCCCTACATACAGCCTCTTAAAACAGAAACCCAAGTAAACAGACCCGACCGATATGTCTCATGTTCCTGACCAGTAGGCGGACTTACAGTAGAAGCCAGAAAGTTGGAACGTCACTATCCTCATGCCCTTACGGTAATGTGTAGGGAATCCGAGCACTAATCATCCTCAAACCATGTTTCAACTTTCCGGGATTCACTATACTAAACCCTAAACCCTAAACCCTAAACCCTAAACCCTAAACCCTAAACCCTAAACACTAAACCCTAAACAATAGATGTTGCGATAGATGGCACCTGGGGTCGGTACCAGATTCAGCTCTTAGGCCTAAAGGTAGGACCTTTCGTAGAGCATCCTCTGTAGCTGCGGAGAAGGAAACTTATGAACGATTTTGGGTTCATGACCTCGGTTAGCTAATATAGGGGCCTTGATAACTAGAATAGGGCTTGGGGGTATTTGCATTTCTACTCACTCTGCAAGCTTTTGCTCGCCCTAAAAGCTCAGCTCGAGGCAACCGCCCTAGCGTGTTAGGTTTGCGGTAGTGAAGACCAGAGACCCGAACCTAGAACAAGGCCCACCTTCAGGGGCTTAGGGTTTAGGGTTTAGAATCGGCCTACCTTTAGGGCTTAGGTCACTTAAGTCTCTCGTCTTCAATAATAATGAAGCCCAAAGGAGTTCAAACTTTCAACCACAGACAAAAATCACAGGGCCAACAAGCTTTCAGTTCCCCTATTGGCGATCTAAGAAATACTCGACTACGCACATGTTACGGGGGAAGTTTGCGAAGTTCTCAGGCCCTGCAAAACAAGGGTTGTTTTAGTGATCGGGGCCAAATCGCCACTTTTGAGCTCGCGTTGCCGTATTTATTCAGGGTCATCCGCGTCTTCTGATTACTCTCACCGTCTCAACGTACAACAGTTGCATGCAAGTGTCAAGATTCAGAACTGTTGTTGTTCCGACCGAAAGAAGGTGGATGTAGTTACTATAGGGGCGTTAATAAGTAGAATAGGGTCTGGGGTATATTATACTAGAATTATAAAAGGGAGTCCCCAAAACCCATTCTAATTTGTAAGGCCCCCACATTACTATGGTCATGATGACTTCAGGTTTCTGCTGCCTGGATGGTTCTCTTGACAGACCTGTGCTCGCATGCGCTAGCTAGTCGCTAGGAGAGAGGGCCGAGTCATGCCGCGACTCCTCCCATGCCGCAAGTAGCAGCCACTTGTGCGGTTTAGGGTTTCGGGTTTAGGGTTTAGGGTGCTCTGTAAAACAAACAAGAGCCCTGCAAGCCCCTTGTTCTGAAGGTACCTGAGGATCTATCTAAGCCTGGAAAAGTTTGACTGTACGCCTTTCCCATGCAGAGCAGAAGGCAGGATGCAGTTAGACCCCCCAAATACCCGCTCTTGGAACCTACAGACCTATCATAACTCGAAGGCCTCGACTGAATGAACCTCGCCAAAGGGGGGGAGGTCCTGGCACCGACTGTAACTTTCCACCAAAGCTCGGAGCGCCATGCCGTCGGTTTAAGCTGACACGAGACGCGGTGCCGGGCTGAGGCAGAACGCTCTTGAATTTGCTGACTTCAGCATTGGGCATTGGCATAGGTTGCACACTATCGAGGTTCAGATGCATCCATGCTTTGGCATCCTTTAACCCGAGGATCTAGACAGCTTGCGGTTGCCTACCAGTTCATGCTAGGCCAGAGGCCATTGTCAGGTGAAGGCTTGACATCGCCATCTGAAGAGCGGGGTGTCCATGGAATGTCCGGCCAAAGACACACTTTCCCTGCATCTCCAAGGTCAGTCTCACTTTCAGCATCGTGGTCTTCAGTCTTCGTCTGTGTTTGCATCTCGCCAGCTGTCAAGTCCATGTCCGGCACAAGAGGACACGTGCCTTGTAGCGTGGCATCGGCACGCGGGGTCCAGTTGAGGTCTGGCCAGAGACACTCCTCTGCTGCCCCACCTGCCGGAGCCTTGATATCCTTAGTTGCTGAGCTCATCTGCCCCCCCCCCCCCAAAAAAAAATGCAAGCTGTCAGTTTTACCCTGGGGCTCCAAATAGCCCAAAGTAGGTACTATTTATCGACTTTATATACTTGGAGCCCTGGGGTTATAGGGGACACTCTTATGCCAAAACGTGTAAAGCGTACCCATTCAGCTACTTGGTATCGGCTCTGGGGGTCCACTGCATGTCTGGCCAGAGACACTCATCGGTCGGAGGAGCCTTCATCTCGGAGCCAAGGACGCAGGGACTCCAATATCCCTTAATGAAGGAATATATATATATATATATATATATACCTTAAATTATAGTAGGATCCCTAATATGATTTAAGGTATATTCCTTATAAAGGGATATTGGAGTCTCTGGGGAGAAGGGGCACGGCATCATCAGCTTTTGAACCCATGGCCCGAGAATGAACAGCCCAGGGTCTCTTGCACGGTTTAGGGTTTAGGATTTGTGCTCAAAGGCCCATGGCACTTAGTAAGTAAGGTTATAAGTTGTAAATGCGGCAGTGATTCGGAGAACCCTACTTAGGGCACATGCAGGCGCGTGTTTAACCCCACCTACTGAGTCCCCTGGGCCACTTAGTAGAGTTAGGACCTAGGCTAGGACTTAGGGGCTGCCATGATCTCGTAATATTTGGGCCTTTATATGTGTACTCAGACCTTCCAAGCACCAGCTGCAACCGCCCATGGGTTACTGTCTGACGACGATCTTTACCTGCCCCATCGTGCTCCCAATTGCCGTAGACCCTAAAACCTAAACCCTCAACCC